ATTTTTATTATATATATATATATATATATAGTTTATGAAAAACTAGGTAATCCGTATGGGTAAACCTAAGGAGGATAAAATCCAGAGAGCTCAATGTAAATCCAGAGCAAATAATTTAAATAAAAAACAGACCACTTTAAGGTTCCATGGAACCTTAAAGTGGTCTGTTTTTATTTAAATTATATATATATATATATATATATATATATATATAGTTTGTGTCTAAATGTTATCTACTCACACTTGTGACAAGTCAAAGACAAAATACCTGACTTCTAATGCTATCCTCAACAGATAAGGCCAAAAATGGAGACTGTTGCTATATTGGGGTGGGGGCTGCCAAGAGCTCATTTTCCAGTCTTGATAGAGTTCAAAAGCATCTCAGAGTCCTTCTTGGAGAAGAATTATTTTCCACCTTCCAACCTCTCTCTCACAAGCGGAATGTGGCAATTCTCTCACTGCTCTATCAGTACTACCATGGAAACTACTCAGACAAAGTACATTCCTGCAGGTCTAACCTACCATGCCACTTACATAGTAGCAAACAACCTCCATTCTCTTTGTATTCCATCGGTGAGAAGTTCCACTGAAACACTTTCTTTCCGTTAACCACTGCCCAATGGAACAGACTCCAAACAGGATGTTCCCCCTGATCACTACAATCTTACACTGTTTCAACTCTAGAGTCTAACGTTATCTTCCCCTTCTATCCATATAAACTACCACTTAATATAATCCTCTACCTCAAGTGGCCCCCAGGCCTTATACAGAGTAAACCTTACTGTAAAGAAAAAAAGAAACAAACAGACTCACATGGACAAAAAGACAGAGCTGGACAAACCCACAGTGAGATAAAGAAAGATACAAACTCCATTGGTGAGAGAGAGAAAAAGACAGACAGGCCCATATGGAGAGAGAGAGAGAAAAATGGAGATTGCCCTCATGTAGAGTACACACATAGACAGAGACAGAAATATAAATACTATTAGATAGATTAATTGATAAGATTGATGTAGATATATGAAGAGACTGAAATATAAGTATATACAGATAGAGAGAATACAGACAGAAAATATTGATGCTTTTATGCTAAAAATGAAAAAACGACACATGATGGCTCATTTATTTTAATGACCATTATTTTCACTCAGCTGTGACATAATAAAACTTCTGAATGTAGATCTGAGAAATTTATAAAAGTTATTTGGAAAAAGAACAAATGCAAATATTGCTGTAATTAATTCAATAAAACTCAAACACACACACAATCAAAAACTGTATCGTCACAATATATGCAAGTTCTCATATACTTTATTCTAATGAGTTGATATGTTAATTAGTTCTGAAATGTATACACACTGACTATATGTGGGCATAAATATTTACACCCCCTGGAGAGTTGACTTCATTAAAGTACACAAAAAATCATAGCACTGTAAAGAATGTATGTATATATATATATATATATCGGGTGTAACAGCAAAATTATCCAAATCGTCTAACAGCATGGGATAATTGCTCATCCCACAAAATGTTTCATCTCCAAAAAACCCAAAAAACTTTTCTTTTTTTCAGGTTTCCAGATAACACATTTAGCCATCTTGATACCATTTGTCATAAGAATCACTGAAAAACCCACTGAGTTATTCAGCTAGAAAGAGAACAGTTGAAAATCATTTTGTGTCAGCCCCACTATATCTTCCTAACTGAACAATGGTGAGAGTAAAAAGATCATTCAGGCCTTCAGAAATGGTAGCAACGTTCATACTCTGGCTTCATCTTCAAAGTCCATTCAAAAACCATTAAGAGCGGTGAATAAGTTTAAAAAAGAGGGTACAGTAGAGAGGAAAACTGGATCAGGAGGTCACAACAGCAAGAGGGATCATCATTTCAACTTAGAGCTAAATACATTCTTATTGTTCAAAGTAGAGTCCAATAGTGTCACAAAAACCTTGGAGAATTCCAGTAAGATATCTTTAATCATTTCTAATATACAACAGTTCAAACTTAATCTAGCAATTGGAAAATTTGCTGTTACAGCTGGTTATATATATATATATATATATAGGGTGTCTATAAAGTCTCTTTACAATTTAAAAAATTTATTACAAAAGCAAATTGTTACAAAATGAGAAGTACATATTGAAGTTTTTTAACTAATTTAATACACTTCTATATGGGCACCATTAGATGCATGAAGCACATCAAGATGGTAGTTGATTTCTTGCCATGTTCGCCATGGCATAGCCCCATCAATGGTGGCAATGGCATCAGTGATCTTTTGCTTGAGATCAGTGATGTCTCGTATCTTTGTTCAATATACAATATCTTTAACCCCATAAAAAAAGAAGTCAGGGAGTAATATATATATATATATATATATATATATATATATATATATATATATATATATCTATCTCTCTCTATATATATATATATATATATATATATATATATAGAGTTGAAATAGCATGTGTAGCTTGGAAATATATGATGGGATGTTTTTAATATTTCATGTGCACATCGTGTAATGACATAAAATACTAAGAACATCCTATCACATATTCCAACCTATCCATATGATTTCTTAAAGGTATCAACTGAAGATTAGAAGTCAGAAATCCTGAACCTCAACTCCACAAAAAGCACATTGAAACAAAGCCAGAATTGGTTCAACTACAACAAGCAATATATATATATATATATATATATATATATATATATATATTTGTGTATTTAGGCAGCAAACTCTCTTTTAGGCATGTCTGATTGAATAAATTACAAATGCTATGTCTGTTTATTTTGATCATAATCCTTTCTTATTTTCAAATATTTTTCCATATCTTACAATTAAGTCAAGGATTAAGTCAAGAAATGCACTGTAACAGTGAGAATCACTTTTATTTTCCAAGTAATATATATATATATATATATATATATATATATATATATTCAGAGAAGCATAGATCCATCCAGCTCTTATCTCAAATAACAACTTAAAAGAGACTGTTTGACCAACACAAGGAATGTTAAAAGATTCATGTTAAAAAGATAAAAAAACAAATGAAAACTACAGACAAAAGTTCATTTTCTCCATCAAGACATTCATTTCTGTGGTTTACTGCTACCAGCAAGCAGAAATATTTCTTCTCCCGATGATGGCCATTTTGGCCAAAACTAGTCAAGGAATCTAAATGAAATAATGATAAAAAAAATGAAAGAATATTAATCTACAACCCATTGTGTCTGAAGATTTTAATTTTTTAATATTTTTTATTGTTCAATATATATATATATATATATATATATATATATATATACACGCATATAATACACACATATACAATGAGGATACTAAAATGTTCTCAGACTGATCAAAAAGAGATACCAAAACAAATTGTGATGTTTGGACATATTTTGGGAAGTGAGTCAGTGTTCAGCCTGAGAAATTTTACCACTCCTTTCTATTGATATGTATTTCTACTGAACATAAAATGGAGGATTATTTTAAAATTGTTATTAAATAATGAACTGATCCCCCTCCAGAATTAATACACCCCAAAGGATGCTGAAAAGTTCTCAATATGATCAAGAAGGTTTTCCAAGACAAACTCTGATGTTTAGTCATTTGAATAAATTTCGGAAAGTGGGTTATGCCAAGAGCTTTCCAGTATTCCCTTTTAATATTAAATTCTAATGGACAGATAGTGGTGGTGGGAGGTTTGTTTTTACATTTTTATTGAGTAATCATTTGATACCCCAATAATTGCTACCCACCAGGTTGTATCGAAACTTCTCACCTTGACCAAAAGAGAACTCCAAATAAAATTTGGATATTTGTTTACTCCATCAGCTTTTGGGGAAGTGATTCAGACTGAGTAACTCCCTCTTTCAACTCCCCCTGATGTGTCACACATCCATACACACACACTTTTCCAAGGAATTAAATGACACCAGCATACAAGTGTGGATCAATAAGTCTGCAGCCTGGCATATAGTAAAAAGACAAACATTGATAAGAGCTATAAAGGATAGGATGTTGTGGGAAGCTATGGTCAACCATGTCCTTTTAGGATATGGTACACAGAAGAAAAAGAAGACAATGTATCTGGAGCCTCTTTTTTACATCAATAGTTACAACTTCATTTCTATTTTTATACTTCCTATAAGTCTAGTAATGATAGATAAGGTAATTAATACTTTTATATCTACAATTTTAGGTCATAAAGCTCTAAAGATATTACTATTATAAAAAATGAATTTACTGAGTATATTTTTTACTACTCTCGTCTGCCAACCAATTTGTTGTAAACTCAATAAAATATTTCAAACAAATGGTTGGAAGATGAGTAGAGCAAAATGAAAAATACAACTTGCTTCCATATTTGTGGTTTTGAAAAAGAAGAAGGCTGTTGCCAATAAGCAGGAACTTGTTCTGAAGAAAGACAAAAGCCATAACAGAATCAGACAAGTGCAAGATGATTAATTTTTGTCTTTAATAATAAACCAAACAAAACTCAAATCAACAACAAAAAAAGAAAAAGCTGAAATCATTTTTTTATTTTGCTTATAAAATGACAAGAAACCATAACCTCCTCCAAAACTCTACTCACAGAGCTAATGAAATAAGAAATAAAAAGATTCCAAGGTTGTCAAACTATCAGAGGAATTGCCATTCCATAGAGCATTATATTATTATAAACAATTAGATTTAGCTGAGGGAAAGAGGGTCGACTTGATCAATTGAATGGACAAGAAGTGGGAGGATTGAGTTTATAGAAAAAAAGAAAATGGCTGTGAATACTCAAGTGATAAGAAAGGAAAGCAGTTTCTTAATGGAAACAAAGATGAAGAAGGGAGTAAATAAAATGAAGGAGAAGGTAGAAAGGAGTTTGAAGAATCGAAAGTATAGGAGTTTGTACAGAAAAAGGAAAATAATTAGAAAAACATTTAATGAGAAATGAAGAGGAAAGTTAACAGTTAATAGATAAAAAATAATTTTATTCAATGTGAAGAAATAGAGGCTGACTGAAAGAAAAGTAAAAGAAGTTTAAGCAGAGATGAGAAAAAAGAAAAGAGAAAAAACAGGTAAGAAGGAAAAAGATAAAACAAATAAAAAGGAGAAAGAAAAAAGCAAATAAAAAGGAGAGAAGACCAAAGAAAAAAATAAGAGGAAAAAAAACAGAAAAAGGATAAAGAAAAAAGAAAGAAAAAATAGACAAAAAGTAGAAATAAAAATTGAGAAGGAGGAGAGAGAAAAAGGAGAAAGAAAAAAAATAAAAAGAGAAAGAAAAAAACAGAAAAAAAAGAATAGAGGAAAAAACAGAAAAAGGAGAAAAAAAGAAAAGGAGAAAGAAAAAATAAAGAAAAAAGAGAAAGAAAAAAAAATCTCCTTTTGGAGAAAAACTAGAGAAAAAGAGAAAGAAAAATAGGCAAAACTGAGAAAGAAAAATAAGTAGAGAAAGAGAAAGAAGAAATGAATGAAGTAGACATAAAAAAGAGGAATGAAACAGAAAAATTGAAAAAAGATTTGACAAGGAAAATATATAAAGGGAAAATTGGAAAAAAAATTAAAGTATATTAAAATAAAGAAGTTCGAATGATTAATTTATCAAAAAAAATGATGGAAGAATACAGAATTGAAGAAAAAGAAATGAATGATGAACTGTTGAAAGAGAATTAAGAGAAAATAGAAATATACATGTGTGTGTGTATATATATATATATATATATATATATATATATGATAGGATGAAAAACAAGTAGGAAATGTTTATAAATGAATGATGAACTGTTGAAAGAGAATTAAAAGCAAATAGATAAAATTACAAAAATAAGAAAAAAGAAAATGGTGGTTAAAGAAAGAAAATTTACAAAATAAATTAAAATTGTAATGAAAAAAGGAAGCCATTTTTTTTTAAGTTAAAGAAAACAAAAAATAATGAAAGAAAAAAAAACCTATTATTTATGAAGAAAAGAAGAGAAAAGCATTTGGAGAGTGACTGAACTCAAAACAGTTCATTCAGAGAAGTGACTGAACTCAAAACAGTTCATGAAACAAAGAGAAAAAAGATATTTGAAGTTAAAGAAGAAAAAGAAGGGAGAATGAAACTAGAAAATGAAAGAGAGAAGTTAAAAACCAAGTAATTAAAAGAACAAAGACAACAAATGATGGAGCTGAAGGAAGAATTGAAGGTGAAAAACCTTTGTGGGTGGAGCAGTAACATTAAGCAATTGAACAGCGGGTGGGGTGGAATGATTTAAAAAGCAGCAAAAAAAAATCCCAAAAAGTGTGTGGGGAAGAGGGTGACAGTTACATAAGAGAAGCTTAAAATTTTGATCTTGATTGATATGGAAGGCTTCTGCTAAATTGTGGAAATGAAAGAAAGCTAAGGTACCCAAAAAATGTTGGAAGAAGTAAAGTCATGGGTTAAAGGGCATAATTTGGCATGTTGTTATTAATGTTATTATTGCCCACTTACATGAGGCGTTTTAGTTATTGATGACTAGCAGTAGCGCCCGGCGTTGCCCGGGGATGTAACAGTAAGAGATAGATCAAGTATCGACCATCATAAAGACTCAAAAATAAAATTGACAAAGATTATTGTTTAAGGTTGACGGACATGCATGTCTTCATTAGTTATTTTTTTTTTTTTTTTTTTTACAAATTGGTCAAACCCAAACTTAAACAAAAACATTGTTTTCAATCATTATGAGTCTACCGATTGAATAGAATTTTATTATAAACATTTGTCTTGTAAATGGAATTTTTAAAGCATTCTGAATGTAAAAATAAAGAAAAAGTGTGCAAGACAATAAGAAACACTACCTGCCAAAAAAAAAAGTGAAGTTTTGTTGAAATCGGTTGAAAAATATAGGAAATCCGATCACATATATAAATGAACACACACACACAAAAACAACCTGGGTTTTATAATAAGTATAACTCGATATGAGTTGTCCCCCTTTTATTCTCGCAATGCCTCTTAATCGTGTTTTCAAATTGATTTCATGCAAAAACAATTGTGTTTTTCCAAGTTTTGGCGCTGTCAGAACCACAGCAAGGTAATTTTACATAGTCCTGTGAAGTTTTGTTGAAATCAGTTGAAAAATGTAGGAAATCCGATCCAATATATAAACGTACAGACACACACACACACACACACACACAACCTGGGTTTTATAATAAGTATGATTTTTATTGTTTTATTTGTTACTTGTTTAGCTATAATCTACAATAGCCTCCACTCAATGTCAAATAACTTCCTATTTATAACATTTATATCATCATTCCCATGATCCAGGTGTGGTCACAGGGTCACTGAACAACTAACCTATCTGATCAGTTCCCTTCATATATCTGGGTTGAAAACTGGAGAAATATTCATCCATGCACAGTGTGTCCTGGGTAAGTCCTCCAGGTGGAGACCATCTCTCTTCAGGTCAAACCAGAGCCAATGTCCTCCAACTTGAAGACTCACCTTGTTCACAGACACATGGCTATTGATTCCATCAAGGGAACCCTTCACCTTTCAGTCTAGGAATCCCACCACCCAGCAGTGTCTTGTCATACCTGAACTGGCTGCTACGGAGCCCAGTCTACCCCATTGTGCTAGATGGCTGTTGACCTTACAAAAAATTTTGTCTGCCATTTGATAGGCTTTGTTTTTAATCCTGCTGGGGGTCTAGCTACTCTCCTCAACAAAAAAAGCCTGATGGGGGAACCAGTTTAGTCACTGAGAATCCGACCACTGCATTTCCAGTAGTACACATAGAGTGATCTAACATAAAAAATTATAAGTGTGTATAAATTCTAATAATAACTTAGCTTAATTGTTAAAATATCATCCTTAGTATGGCATTATCACTGACAGAGAGAATGCAAACAAGTCAAGAATGCTTCCCTGCTTATTCCTCTTATTTTCTGATTAAGAAAATATGGAAGAACAATTATTTTTTTACTTGTAGTCTTTAATTACAAAGTATGAGCTGCTAGCTTTTATATGTTTGTCAATTATTATTATTATTATTATCATTATTTGATATCCCTTCTGACTTTAGATGCTTCAGCCAAGTGATGATCACATCTCAGCACCTACCCACAGTTTATAGAGACAACACGTTCCTCAGCACCTAAGCTGTTCAAGCAGAACTACTCCATGCACACTTCCAATGAGGAAGAAGAGTAGTAGTAGTAGCAGTAGTTGTTGTTATTATTATTATTATTTCTTCTTCTTCTTGCTATTGCTGTTTCTTATTTTACATTTGAACAATGTGTGGTAATAAAATAAGCACATCCCATTTCCCCTCTTGTAATTATCCACTATAATAAAATAAACATTTTCAGCATTAAAGCTGAATTAGTCAAATAAAGCTTCATAAACTTCTACTTTTGTTGTTATAGCACACAATATTTCTTCTTTTTATATTAAATAATGTTTCATTACAAAAAAATTATGTGAAACAACTTACCACTATTTACATTATTCAGACTGTTATCCTCATCTTCATTGCCATATTCACAATGTTTTGCCCTCTATATCTCTGAGATGAGGTATTATCATTATTTACATTATTCAGACTGTAATCCTCATCTTCATTGCCATATTCACAACATTTTGGCCATTGCACATTCCAGCCTTTCTCAGCTGATTGGACTTAAATTCTGGAGACCAAATTAGACCATTATTAATAATTTACTTATTCTCAGTATTAAGGTCAGGGACAATGTTTTTGCATACATATTTCTGTGTGTCTACATAAGTAGTGTGGCTAGTGTGACAGTGAGCAATAAGACGAGTCCAAATTCCACCCAAACTCTTTACATTCAGTTTCACACAAATACCCTTTGGAAAGATATGAATCTGCCCATTGTGCCCCACCACTAACCATCTATATGTTAAATAGCAGGACTGCCTTAGCTTTCTTGTTTTGACATAGCAACCAGTCCAGGGAAAAGAAAGCTCTGTATTCAAAACAAACCTGAAGAGGGATGGGCTTCATTAGGTTATCTTGCTCTAGACACACCACTGCTACTATGGATGCAGTACATCTAGTATTCCTACAAGCCCAATGGGTTAAGGGACTCATAATGTGATGTAACGTGTGTGTACAGATCTTTTCTAAATTCACCACAGCACATTTTGAATTTGAGGTAGCAGTAGAGATAGTGAATGAAATAAGAGGCTATGGTGGTTACATTTATTCGTAGAGGTCAGTACTGTCCTGCCTATCCATGATTGAAAGATTAATAATTAAAGTAATAAGTGAAGTAAATCATTGTTTGATCATTTTGTGTACCTGCCTGTCAGAAAGGCATGAACCCAAATCTTTCTGTTTTGTCTCACTGCTTGTTATGTCAGCCTAACTTTCAATGCAGAATAAATGATAATTCCAAGACAGAGCGAGGGGGATCCCGAGTAAGATTTTCTGCTTTATTGCTCAAATATCAGTCCATGAAAAATATTGAGGGCCAACTTAAGAATCTGTGAAATGAGTTGCTTCCTATTTTAAACTTTTTTTCCTTTTTTTTTTTGATTTAATTCTTAAGTTCAAGTAATGTCAGATGGACGATCAACGAGAAATGTCTCCATGGATGGTATCTAGTGAGACGAATAAAGATATCAGATAACATAAAAGACCATGTTCTATTTCAAAGCCAGAAGCAGGAAGAATCCCACTTCTTTTCAGAGTAGAGGAATGATGCAGATACCAAAAGAGATGGAATTTTTTTTTTAAAAAAATGAAAGAAAACAATTTAAAAAAAAAGATTTAATTTTCTTTTATTTTTAACTTTTTAAAACAGAACTGGAAAATATATATAAAAAAACTTAAATAATGAAGATAGAAAACACAAAGATACAAAAAACAAAAGACACAAAGATACAAGAAACAGAAAGCACAAACATAAAATTAAAACACAAAATTTAAAGGAACTATAATAAAAAAGATTATTAAAAAATCTAAAAAAAAAAAATGTTAAAAAATAAAGTAAAAACTATAAAACCAAAAAAACTCCATTAAAATAATTAAAAAACAATCATTAGCCAAAAGTTATTAAAAAAAAGATCAAGTGCCATTCCACAGAACAATAGTCTCAAAAAACATTACTACAAAATTGAAATCAATCATCGCTTGATCCCCCATGCTTGTTGCCACATAACAGTTATTAACTAAACCAAGTGAAGACAAATATAGAGAAGGATACTCCCTTAATTAATGCCTCCTATTTGATAATATTGACCTACAATGTCAAAGGAAGATAGTGGCAATAGAGACTGAACCTTCCCACCAATAATCCATAATGATTCCTATTTTATTATATTGACCCACAATGTCATAGGTGAATGTTGATAGTATAGCAGTAGAGGATGAACCTTCCACCAATAACCCATAATGCTTCCTATTTTATTATATTAGCCCATGATCTCAGAAATGGGTGTTTGTGGTTTTGCAGCAGAGGAAAAGTTTCCCATCAATAACCCATAATGCCTTGTATTTGTTGTATTAGCAGTAGAGTATGAACCTCCCCACCAATAACCCATAATGCCTTGTATTTGTTGTATTAGCAGTAGAGTATGAACCTCCCCACCAATAACCCATAATGCCTTGTATTTGTTGGTATAGCAGTAGAGGATGAACCTTCCCACCAATAACCCATAATGCTGACTTACTATTTAACCCATATCTAGGGAAGAAGAGCTGGTTTCATACCTTTTCCAATGGTGTTTGCATGAAAGGGAATTTAATGAAACTCAACTGGAATTAAACTTAGCTTTCCAATTTTTCAGGCAGAACCACTCTCCATTACAACAGCTCAAAATCTCTCTCTCTCTCTCCTATATATATATATATATATATATATATATATATATATATATATATATATATATATATATATATATGTATATATAAATAAAAAGAAAGAACAGTAAGATATAAAATCCGTGTTCTTATAGATATTTTATTTTTAACAAAATAGTGCTCAATGTAAATTTACAGAGCATTAATATTATAAATTAATTGATTTAAAATATGGTTATTTTCGCTACACATATATAAATGTGTATATATATATATATATATATATATATATATATATATATATAAATGTGTATATATATATATATATATATACAAATGTAAAAGAATGAAAAGAATATGCATTCAAAAGTTCATAACATTAACTTAAAAAAAAGGGCTCAATACAAGAAATAGAGCAATAAATATTTATTATAAACTGCTATATGCATTTTTGTTGTGGTAACTTGTATGTTTCAATGTAACAGCTTATTATATATATATATATATATATATATATATATATATATATATATATATATAGTCCAAAAAATCCTACCACAAAAAATAGCATCAGAGAAAGTAAAGAATAAGCAAAATATTAAATATATTTATATATTTTTTAAATCAGTAAAAGATAAGGAATAAACAAAATCCAATAAGAGAAATAATGGAAATAGTTAAAAAGTAATAAACCTTATAAAAACAACAAACAAGAAAACCTTCATTTATCAAAAATGAAAAGCTAAGAAAAAAAAATGCCTTTTTGTTGAACTATAGAAAACTATTCTAAATAAAACATCAATTTGAAAGAACAATGAAAACCATCATTTGGCAAAGAGGAGAAAACAATGTCTAACAAAATGGCAAATGTAATTCTTTTTGTTATTATTGTTGGCTAAGAAACTGTGACAAAGAAGCCAATCTTAAAAAAAGGACAAGAAACATGGGAACTGTTTTTTTTTTTCTTTTTTTTTTTTCTTTGGGCATCCTTGAAGGCAAGAATTGGCCTGTGTTATACAATGTAAAAGATAGCCATCAGCTCATTAATGATAATCCCCCACCCGCACCTATTTTTCTCCTTTCTCAATTGGCCATCTTCAAGAGCCAAAAGCCACCCACAATCTTTGACATGGTATCAGACACCTTATCAGTGCAGACACACAATTTTTTCTTGACATTAACAATCCACTTTTTCACCCTTCAAAAAAAGAAAAAGCAGAAAAAAACTTTCTGTTCTAAACAAATAAAAAAGGAAGAAAATGAAAAAAAAAAGAAAAACAAGAAAAAAAGAAAAAGGAAAGAAAAATAAAAAGGAAGAAGAAATGAGAAAACAGAAAAAGAAGAAAAAGGAAAGAGAAAACGGATGAACAATAAAGACAAAAGAGTAAGGGGAAAAGAAAAAGGAAAGAGTAAAAAGAAGAGAAAGGAAAAAAGAAAATAGAAAGGAAGAAGGAAAGACAAAAAGGAGGAAAAGAGAAAGTAAGGGGGAAAGAGAAAGGAAGCAGGAAAGATAAAAGATGGAGGAAAAGAGAAAAGAAAAAGGAAAGAGAAAAGGAGGAAGAAAAGAGAAAAGAAGAAAAAAGAAAAGAGCAAGGGAAAGGAAGAAGAAAAGAGAAAAGAAGGAAAAGAGAAAAGAAGAAGGAAAGAGAAAAGAAAAAGGAAAAGAAAAAAGAATTGAACAAGGAAAATGGGAAAGAAAGAAAAAAAAACTGAAAAGAAAGAAAGAAAAACTTAAGGCGAAAATACAAAGACAAATTCAGAAATATCCACAAAACTTGTGGCAAAATAAAAGTTTAAATCTAAGAGTTGAAAGTAATATTTTTGAAATGCTGGATTAAGATCTTGGAATTTGAAGAACAGGACACATCTCTGGGGTATTGTATCAATGAGGAGTTCAAAATGACCAAACAAGTAAGTCATTAAAACAAAACAAAAATGAACAATGAAAAACTGAAAATAAAAGAATCAATGAAGTGACTAAATACTTTACAGCCAATATTGATGTCATTGAGGGCATCTGCTTTTGGATGATGAATATAAGGCTCATCTTATGGATGATGGCTATTAAAGTAAATTCAATATTCACTAGGGTCTGTTGTTTGATACATTCATCAGAGTATTCAGATTCAGACTTAAGTTGTCTCAAGTTAATTTCAGCTCAGCTTGAGTTGTTTTACTTTAACACAGAACCCAGAATGTTGGATCTTTATAAGACCAGAAATTGCCAAGGTGCTACTCTAGTACATTGTTCCCATCAGTATTTGAGATCTACCATATTGTTTTTTGTGGTCTACCAAAGCATTTGAATTATGAGTCTTCCCATGAATCACCAGTTCTGAGTAAATCATTGAAACTCAATCAAAAAAAAAAAAAAAAAAAGAAATCTAAGAATCCATAAATAATAAGATGCTTCCCAAAGAATTTTATTGAACTCTCGTTTCTCGTGAAGAGTGTGCATATGCATAATACTGCATAATAAATCCAGTTCTGTTATGAAAGATAAAAGGAAGCAGAACTTTGATTGGTTTTTAGGTTCCACAAAAATTGAAGCAGATTCATTAGAAATATTGTGGTAGATTGCATACTACAAGACAAATACTGACAGTTCACCTTTTGAAAAGCTCTCTCTCCCATTGCACCTCACAATAACTGATGGGACAAATATAGTTGGTTTGATTAACACACTTATAGCAATGCATGTGACACAGGTAAGAACTAATTTTATAAGTGTGGCTGCTCCTTGTTCTACAATAAGTATCTCATTATTTTGCAACTATCCAATAGGACACCTGACTTCTGGTCTTGTGCCAGATCTGAACAAAACTAGTAGATATCTATGAATACAATTTTAACATGAGACTCTTAATCAAGTTTATTGACATACAAATGGATGAATATGAGATTGAAGTTTTTTTTCAAAAGTAATATTCACTCTTTACAAGGTCAAAGAGCCACTTGAGGAAGATGATTACTGAGGTAAGAGGTAAAGCTTATAGTGATATGTGGGGAAGACAATGGTTAACTGTTTAAGATTGTAGTGACTGGGATAACATCTTCTTGGGAGTCAGTTCCAGAAAGTAGCAATTTTTAGGAAGAATCTGTTTGAGTGGAACTTACATCTCACTAATGAAACATGAAGGGAGTCAGGGTAGTTTGCTACAATCGGTATGACATGGAAGGTCTTTGTTGTGGAGATTAGAACTGGTACTACTAAAGAATATAGTTCATTTGAACACTGTCCATTGAAATAACGACAGAGTAGCAAAAACCTTACAACATTCTGCACATGGGAAAAGGATTGCAGGATAGAAAATGATTCATCACCCAAAAGGCAGCGGAGACTGGAAAGGGAAGACTACCAAAATCCAGAGGATGGATATGATGTAACACTTTTAGAAAAATTAGACCCAAATGACCAAAAGTCTGATTTCTGAAGCAAGAAAAAAAAAGCTTTGGTTGAGATGAGAACATTTCAGAACCCCTTTATATATATATGTATATATATATATGTATGGGGTCGGGTCATAAGTAATGTCCACTTGTGTTTATCAATTTTATTTTCCAAAAATAAAGCACAATTATATTTTATTCAGTTTTATATTCACCATTATTCATAATGACTTGTTGCCACTTATCAGGCAGCTCTTCAAATACCTTTTGAGTAATATTCTGCATTGTTTTGATATGAGAATGTTTCTGACAAAATCTTGAATTTGGTTTTTGTCATATACCGCACATATGAACAGTAACGGATATGTCTCAATCCTCATAAATACGTTGGATACTATTTTAAGGGGGGAGGGGTTAATATGCTGTCTAAGTAGTCCACTACTAGCAGTGGTTTACCTACTTCATGCCACTGACGAGTATCGTATTTTGTTGATGTTATAAAGATTACCATTTCATTTCCAACCTCCGTTTTGGTTATTGCTCATTCAGTAACATTTCCTAGATTACAACAATGATACACCTAATATATATATATATATATATATACGCACCCTGAGGGTTAAGTTTTCCAAGCCCTCCTTCCTCGTTATATATTTGTTATATATCGTACCTATGAATCTATGAATGCTAATGAGTATGTCCTAGTCATCCTAAATACATTTGGCATTATTGTAAGTGGGGTTAATATGCTGTCTCAGTAGTCCACCACTAGCAGTGGTTTACCTACTTCACGTCGCTGGCGAGTATTGTATTCTGTTGATGTTATAAATAGTACCATTTCATTTCTAATCTCCTTTTTGATTATTCATTATTCAGTAACATTTTCTAGGTTACAACAGTTTTCATTAGAGAAAGTTTTCCCCATCAAAGCATTTGGCAATGATCAATAAAGGTCAAAATCAGTTCATGAAAAGTCAGGTGAATATGGCAGGAGAGATAGAACAATATTCCAAAATTTTACCTTTTTCTTTTTTTAAATCAATTCACATCAAGTGAGATGATAATGTCACTAAGACACAAGGAGCTATTGGAATTGAAAGAGAAGAGAAAGACTTTAGAAAGAACTAGAAACCCAATAATAGTATAAATTTCAGTGTTTAGGTGGGGATGTTAGAAGTATAAAGTTCAAGAAGATGGAACTGGAAACTGAATCTTAAACAGGAAGCAAGGAATCAACCTCTACTTCTTTTCAAAAGGCTGGGTCCTGCGTTATTCTTGATGTATAAGGCTTTGTGCATTCATAGTGGACAAGATTTTCTCTTAAACCCACTGAGTAAACTACTATTGCAGTACAAAAACTAAGGTATGTTAGTGTACACCAAATTCATTCTTAACTGCCATGTATGATTAGTAAATACATGATACATTTGGTGATACAATTGTTTCCCAAAAATGGAAATGACTTACAAGTCAACCTATATTTAAATTTTCTTTATTGAAATTTCTTGAATACACAGGCTGATAGATATAATACACACTCTTTAAAGTAAAAATAAGAATGCAGCATCTATTTCAAATATGAGTATTCATTATAATAACTTTGAAGTAATAAAAATGTTGGACTAAAATCCATTCATTCTTTAGAAAAAAAATATATATTTATACCTCCCTTTAACCCATAATGGTTTACTGACCACTCGAACCCAACATCTTTAATTTCAAATTTTAAATTAGCAATTAACTTTTTCTTTCCCTCACATTTTTTTACCCACCTCATATTCATATTCCGTTAATGTTTCCTAAGAAATGTAAACCACCAGCATCATATTTAGCACACTCCTGTGCAACTTCATTTTTTTATCCACTATGTAGCAGCAAAACTCCCATTAGCCATTTGTTTACTTCTGGCAATATAGACCCCGTGCCCGATGAACTGGGAACACCACCTAGTGAAACTATAGTCGCACACCAAATTTAGGTACACGTATATGTGCTAATTAATATATATATATATATATATATATATATATATTCATTATTTACATTGTTCAGACAGTTGTCCTCGTCTTTATTCCTGTATTCATGATGTTTCGGCCTTGCACGCTCTGGCTTTCTTCAGGTGAATTGAATTTCAAATTGAACTTTTTATTTCATCCACAAAAGTAGATTGTTCTAGTTCCACATGCCTCTTCTAGATGAAGCAATTATCTCCCTCTAACTCAACTCTCCAAGTTTTTTTGCAGTAGCAAGGTATTGAACTCACAACTCTTTGAGTTAAGTCACTGCATCCCAACAACACTTCTATCCACTGGGCCATGTGTCCTTGAGGACATTAGTGCGTGAATTTTGGAGACTTATAAACTTAATGCTTCAGTAAACATTTTTTTTTACCATAGCTCATATTGCAATTTTGTTATTATTGCTTTTGTCTAGCACTCTAGCACTCTACTAGTTCCCATATTATATTCTTTTCTATGTTTGGCCGACTTAGGAGATATTTGTGGCTTCACATATGTGCAGATTCCTTAAGTTTTTGTATTTTCCAGTGCTATTTTCTGTCTATTATTTCAACCTCATTCCGCAGGGGACGGTGATCTCCCTTTTCCCTCCATATGAAGATCAGGACAACAGTCTGAAAAATGTAAATAATGTAACTAATTACAATACCTCATCTCATATATATATATATATATATATATATATATGTGAAAAGTATGTGTATATAAATATATATATATATATAATTATTTATATATTATATGCATGCGGTACTTATTAGAAAGTGCTCAATATCAGAGATAGAGCTAACATATTTCAACAAACTCACATCAATCCAAGCATATATATATATATATATATATATATATATATATATATATATATATATATGTATGTATATGGGAGAGAGAGACGAGACAGGAAGCTGGAGAAAGTTCTAGTACAGTTTAAGTTCCATAATTTTAAACATTATATAATCAATCTGTAAAAGCCACTGCTAAACCTCATTCTCTTTATTGTCGTTTAATAATACAATTTTGCTATTTTTGTTTTTATGAATTCTTTAACAATTACCAAAAGCTTTCAATAGAAGACAAAATAAACTATATATATATATATATATATATATATATATAGATAGATATAGAGATATATACTACTGTATTTTAAATTGGCCCCAAAAGTAGTTATTTTGTACTTTAAATAAGAGAAAATTATTATACATGGTTAAAAAATGTGAGACATGATTTTTTATTAGAAGTTTTATTATGACAAAAAGAAATAAAAGTATTTTATTTTGCTCTTGTCAAAATATCCTCCT